AAGGTTTCCTAGGAGAACTTATCACAAGCTGAAACCAAGAAAGTTTGGGTCATGTAAAATCTTGAAGATCAGCTCCAATGAGAATCCTATTTACAGTTTTGTTGATTTATATCCATTTGAGGAGTTTGATGGAGAAATGCAACCACCAGAAACCATGCTTCAACAACTCCCAAAAAAGCTACCAGTTGTACAAGATGTTTTGGATGTGAAGGAGGTCCAATCTCAGAGAAACACCTACCAATGAATTTTAGTGAAATGGTTGGAAAAACTAGCTAACAAAAGCACTTGGATAACGAAAGAAAAGTTGCAAGAACTAGATCCAGCCACGTACATTGAATGTATGAAGGTTTTCTCGGCAGAGTTGAGTTCTCAACCAAGGGAGGTTAATGCAAGAGAATGTGGAGCTCCGTGTAACCCAGATTACCAGCCAATTCCTAGGGGCCAAGCAAGTTATTCCTTTTTATTTTATTGTTTCTTGAGTTTTGTATCATATTTGGATTTTTATAGTTGGTTGTTAGTATCATGGTCTTTAAGTTGGGGTATTTTGGTCAAATTAGGTGTTAGGGCATCATTTACTTGGAGGAAGCTATAAAAACCTCATATCTTATTCATAAGAGGGATTTTTGTTGTATTCATAACCTTAAAGACATACTATCTACTGGAGTAGTGATTTCAACCTTAAATATATATTCTTCATTCCAACTTCAATTTGTGTTATCTCACCACAAATTTTATCACCTCTGGATGCTACTTTCTAGTGATTTTATATTTTAGCTGCATTACATCTCGCATATACACAATGAAGGAAATCTATACACCAACATAAATACTTAAATAGTCTTTGTAAACTAAGAGAGAGGTAGGTATGTAGGAAGCTAGCCTCCAAAAAAAAATGGGTGCTTGGCACATTTATGGTTGTTTTGATGCTCTAATAAGAATTTCAATTTTCACCAATCAAAAGAAATGCACCAACTACTTGGAAAACATGGGACCTGAAACAAAAGATGAGATTAGGGAACAAAATTGGCAAAACTAAAATACATTGCTTTTGGTAATATGTAGGGTGGTAGAGATACAAACCAAATAATGTAGCATTCTCTCATGGTAGCCAAAAATTATTATACATCAAATTATATACAATAAAATTAAAAGGCAGGTCCATCTCCAGTCCAGCACTCCCAAAACCTTCGATAGTGAAGACCAGCATTGGGCAATGGCCCTTCCATATGGTAAAAACACCAACTTACAAATTCTAACAAGTGCACTTTTAATTTTGCAAATATATGGATATTCAAAAGAGAAACAAGAGTTATAATAACTAAAAGTTTAGTAATTTTAAGAAAAGGTAATGGCATAGAATTATATCGTCCATACATACATACATGCATCAGATAGCCAATGTGAATTGAAGGATACATACAGTATAAACTCCAACTTCAATGCATCGTTTTGCCCCAATAAGTTGGACAAGCATAGCAAGCAATTGAGCCTGATCAGGAGATACCTACAAAATACGAAGAGTATGAAGACAATCTTCAACAAACAGATGTGCACAAAGAACAATCATGACATTTGCAAGTAAAGAACTCTGAATAATGGAAAGAGATTTATGACCTCCTACATTAAGATTAGATAGAGCACTTTATTAGGATTGAAAGTTCAAAATATAATCAAATTAAAACAAACATGTTAAAGAATGGAAAAAGGCTAAAAATGCAGAAAACTGGGAAAAATATAAAACCATAAGAAAGGAAGTTAAAAAAAAAAAAAAAAGTGAATGAAGTTAAATGTAGGACATATGATGAACATTACCATAAATTAGGCACTAAAGAGAGAAAAAAGGAATGTATAAACTAGCAAAGTTGAGAAAAAGGAAAGGCAAAGATTTAAACCATGTTAGGTGCATTAACGATGAAGATCAAAGAGTCTTGGTAAAAAGATTAAGAAATCAGTAGAAACTAAAAAAAAAAAAAAAACAAAGAAAGATTGCCAAAAAATTAAGAGAACAAAGGTGTTGTAAAGAGCAAGAAGAAAGAAGAGAGAAAGAATGAGAGAACAATGAGGAGGCAAAACGTTCTCAAACCACCTGCCTCCTCCACTTATATTTATAATTAATTGATGTAGTACAAAGACTAAAAAGCATTTAATAGGGCGGCAAGAACTAAAGGGACCACAAGCTACTTAAAAAATAAAAAAACAAGTGAGCTTAGGCCCAACAACTAAAAGAACATAACGGGTAATAGAAACATAAAAGATAATTAGGCCCACAAAGCCGTCAGCCCACTAGGGTGATTCTAGGCACCCTGTGAGTGATTCCAGCTATTTTTCTCACTCCTTTCTCTCCCTATTTTCTCTTTTGTTCCTCCAAGAAGCCATTAGAACCATCAACAGCCATAAAACTCTGATCCAAGAGACCATTCAATATTCTCTAAGGACTAGAACTGAGCCGGTCCTACATCAAGACGTCAATCATTCCCAACCTGTGTAGATCACGTTCTAGTTTGTACTTTGCAAATCCTTTAGTGAAGATATTTGCTAATTGCAACTCTGATGTGACATAAGACAAACACATCTCACCTAAGGACACCCTCTCTCTAATAAAGTGTCTGTCAAACTCAATGTATTTGGTCCTATCATGCTGAACCGGGTTGTGTGCAATATTAATAACAGCTTGGGGGTATGTTGTAACGTGGATGAGAAATTGGTGGGTGTGGACTAGTCCACACCACACCACTAGGTTCTCTCATTGGTACATGAGGAGCATCAGAATCAACCGTCCTATGTTGACGCCAGAAAAATGCGGAGGAGGTAGGAGTTGGAGTCTCTAGAGACAACAATGGAGAAGACAAACCAGGAATAGGAAGAAGAACAAGATGCATAAGAGCAGGACACTCCCCCTGAGAAAAAACACCAAAGAAAAGGAGAGGACTCAAATAAAGTAACATCCAGGGTAACATATTGTTAGTGTAGGCATATTTCTGTCTTTATACTTATGTTGAGGTTGCTGATCTGTAATATTATATAAGAACTAGTGTCCCTCACTTAAGTAAGGGCACATGTGTCTTTTCCATTATGTTAGTAATATAAAACATGTCTGGCCGAATGGAAGAGGTAATTTTTTCTCTCATTCGAACCAGACTTTTCTTCTCTCCTTTTCTCCTCTTTTCTCTCTCTCTTTCTTTCTTCTTTCTTCTTCTCTCTTCTTGGTTGTTATCAGACTAACAGAACTCAAAGGCAGGCCGAATCATCATAATACATATCGACTCCCTGAAACCGGATTATAGCAACAATGCCCCTTCTGGTTTTGATTGTGCCTAAGGAAGACACACTTCCTGGCTTTAAGATCAAGTTTATTATGGTGAGGGCCAAATATTGTGAACAAAAGTACACCCAAAGATTCTCAAAGAAATATGAAACAACTCTCCCTCAGAAAACAGAGAAGACCATATGGTGTCTTAAACTCAAGAAGACGTGAAGGCATACGATTAATTTATACACAACATCACCCCAAAACTAAACTGGAACTAAAGCATATATTATGATACTCCTAGCCACCTCAAGAATATGTCAGTTCTTTCTTTCTACTACTCCATTCTATTAAGGAGAATAAACATAGCTGCTCTAGTGAACAACCCCATGCTCCAACAAATAAGTTGTTAAAACCTTCTTACAATACTCTTTGGCATTGTCTAATCTGAATATCTTAATTCTAGCTCCAAATTGTGTGAAAACCATCAGATAAAATTGTCATAAAAGGCACCTCATCTTGTGAATGCATCAAACAAATCCAAGAGAACCAAGTATAATCATTCACAAACAAAAGGAAATATCGATATCCACCCATAGAGGGGATAGAGTAGGGCCCCCAAACATTAGTATGAACAATGTCAAAAGCTGAAACACTTCTTTTATTGCTTTAAGTAAATAAATGTATACAATGTTTAGCAAGTCAAAAACTTTTGCACTCCAGACTAAATAAATAAAAGACGCATGCCCTAATCTGACTCACAAACTATGATCCATTAGGACTATTACCACTGCTCACAATCATCCTCCTTGATTCCAAATCCTAAGAAAACATAACAATCAAGAAGAAAGGCCACAGAACAATTTAAAGTTTTTGTTAAGCTACTAACAGATAAGAGATTAGTATGTAACTTGGGAACATGCAAGACAAGGTAAAGTAATGGTGTCAAACACCCTAACAGTGCCTTTCCCTACTACGGGACAAGCTAAAGTGTCTAGGGATGTGGTTCTTCTACTAGAGGAGGATACACCATCAGCAGTAATGGCCACATTGGCATTCCCCTTTTTGTTTCTGAGCTTTGTTGGCATTCCCAAACGAAGAAGGCAACTTTGGGGGGAACAAAGGAGAGCCAAATCCTTTTGTCCGAAAAGGCCGGGGGGAAGGGTCCTCTATTAGCTTTTGAAAGTAGGAGTTGGAGGAGAACTGGCCTGAGGGAGTGAGGGACCAAATTAGCTTGTCTTGAGATGAGGGGTTGAGGAAGACTTTTGAGATCATGGAGAGGAGGCGGGAAATGTCTGAGATTTCAGAATCTCTTAAGTCTCTACGAAAGTTAAAATTATATGAAACTTGGTTGTTTGCCAAAAGGATGGTTGAGGATACCAGGGCATTTTTATCTCTTACTAAAGAAAACAAGGGAAAGAAATTGAAAGGGGATTGTTTCCCCACCAAAGGTCAATTCCAAAATTATATTTTATTTCCATTGCCCAATCTGTACCTAATGAAGGAAACAAAAGTATTTTTTTTATCAAGGAAACAAAAGTATTTTGGGTAATAAGAATACCTTTCCATGGATTAGCAAGTGAGCATCTTGGAATCGATGGAGTGTTGCCCCTTTCCAAATGATTTTCTCCATATTTACTCTGAATCACTGCTGCCCAAAGAGCATTTTCCTCTGTCTTAAATCTCCATATCCACTTCCTAAGAAGGGACCTGTTTCTATCTATGACGTGCCCAAGCCCCAAACCTCCTTTCTTCAGTTTACACACTATTTCCCAATTTACCAAGTGATTTATTTTTTTCCCCCTCCATCCCAGAGGATGTTACGCTGCAATTTTTCTAAGTGCTTCCTAACTCTGACTGGGATTTTAAAGACTGATAGAAAGTGTTAAAGAGAGTTGCCTTGATTAGGGTGAGACTACCCCCTTTAGAAATGCAATTTCTTTTCCAGAACTCCAGTCTTCTTTCACTTTTCTCAATGAAAGGTTGCCAGAAGTTATCTAATGTAGGATTTCCACCCAAAGGAAGTCCTAAATAACTGATTGGCCAAGTTTCTGTTCTACGTCCCAAAGACCTTTGAAGCTCTGCCAACTCTTGTTGAGAGATGTGTATACCAATAATGATGCTGCTCTTCTCCAGATTGGTTTTCAGCCGTCACTGCTTCAAAGCACTTGAGGATGTTTTTGAGATTATGGATATATTCTCTCTTACCCTCTACAAAGAAGATTGTGTCATCAGCATATTGAAGATGAGTGATGTGGATGTTATCTCGCCCCACCATAAAGCCTTTAAAACAGTCCAGATTTACTGCCTTAGGCATAAAGGCATCAAGAATATCAGCCACAAGTGTGAACAGCAAGGGGGAGAGGGGGCATCCTTGTCTCAGGCCCCATGGAGCCTTAAAGAAGTCTTTGGGGTCCCCATTGATTAGGATGGAGAACCTAGCTGATCTGATACAACCCTTCATCCAACTAATCCAAGTGTTATGAAATCCTTTCAGCTCTAAGATCCTCCACAGGCAATTCCAATCCAGCCTATCATAAGCCTTTTCAATGTCAATTTTGCAAACAACCCCTTTTTGCCCTTGTTTTTGTTATCTTCCACAACTTCATTGGCTACCAAAATACCATCAACAATCTGTCTTCCTTTAATAAAAGCACTTTGAGTGGGAGCAACTACCTCTCTGATAACTCGTTTCAGCCGATTTGCCAATACCTTAGCTATGATCTTATAAAGGCTACCCAGAAGGCTGATTGGTCGAAAATCTCTTACCCCTAAAGAGCCAGTCTTCTTGGGAATGAGCTTGACAAAGGTGGAATTGGTACCCTTATTGATGATGGATGAACTGTAAAAATCCTCAAACACTTCTGACAAATCCGCTTTCACCATATCCCAGCATTCATGATAAAAAGCCTAGGAAAACCCATCAGGGCCTGTGGCTTTATCCTCATCTAATGTAAATATCGCAGATTTTATTTCTTCCTCATTGAACTCCCTCCCCAGTCAGGTTCTACCTTCTTGAGATAATTTTGGTCCTTCCCAAGCTGTCTAAGTCTCCAGACCTTGTCAGAAGAGTAGAGCTCTTTGAAACAATCTTGAGACTATGAGGTCCTAGTCTGAAGTAAGTTGGTCTCCAACTTGTAGTCTGAGATAAAGTTTTTTCTTCTTCTACTATTTGCCAATCTAAGAAAGAAACAAGTATTACCATCACCCTCTTTTAGCCACTGACATCTGGATCTCTGCTTCCAATAAAATGTTAC